TATGGGTGGAAACATCCTGTTTCAAAAACACTGTTCCTTAGAATCCCATGTAGTGAAAGTATCAGATTTGAATTGAATTTTTGTGCCATCAGTGACAAAAATTGAACAGTGCACCATGACAGAGTTAGGAAGAGGACAGTGTGTAGTAAAGACATTTTACATTTTCTTTCCAAGATGAGAGATGGAACATTATACAAATAAATAAGCCAAGAGTACTGTGTAGAACTAATCTGATCTCTCAGCCTTTATCTCCCTTGAATTCTGTAGGATGAAGACAAGACTGATGTGTCATCCTGTTGCCTTTCTTTTGGGAGATGCTGTAGTTCTGTTTTGCAATGTGTATGCTCTTATTTTTATAACTTCCAGAAGAACTGTGACCTACTGAATGTGAAACCTGTGAAAGTGTAATACTGTTAAGCCTAAATTGTCAGTTCAGTCAGTGTATTGACTAAGTGACTACAATATGAGCTGGAAGACCAGGGTTTGATTCCCAGAAATGGCATGAAATTTCTCTTTATCACAATATCCAGATTGACTTTAGGATCCACTCATGTATCTAGGGCATGAAGCTAATCACTCACCTTCTACTACTGTTGAGGTTAGGAGTGTATGGAGCTGTACATCCAGGCCCTGATACATCTTTATTGCATGGTGCTTAATTAAGAACAGGGCTGAATCTTCATGGCATGGTGCTTGATTAAAGACATGGACAATTTTATTTTTACTGGAAAGTCTCCAATCTGAATGAGAAGTAGTTGCAATTATCAGCATAATTATTTAATCTGCAGCATGATATCTGTTGAGAAAGCATTGGCTGCACACATACTACAGACTTTATCAAAAATACATAATCTCAGCAAATCAGTTTGTAATCCGCTTTAATGCCGGTCATGGTAGCCGAGCGGTCTAAGGCATGTACTGTCTTCGCTCGCTTGGAAACCGTGATTGTGGGTTCGAATTCCACTCAGGGCATGGATGTTTAGTTTGTGTGTATGCGTTTTTCTGTGTTTGTGTACAGGTAGAGGCCTTGCGACGAGCTGACCACCCGCCCAAGGAGTCCTGCCAAATACGTAAGATCTAGAAAAACCGAAAGTGAACGGAGAAGTTCATGGAGGTAGGCTTAGGCCCACTGGGGCTGTAATTCTGAGGGGGGGGGGCAAAATCCACTTTAATATTAAGCATCAAACCTTGTGAAGGTTCAGATTTATTTTTATCAAAGAAAAATTGTATGAAATTATATAATCTTTTTGTTCATCTATTAAAAGAATCTAATGATTTGCAAAAAGAAGTTTAAACATACCTCAAGCAGCAAACATATGTGTCTACTTGACATTTCTAATGAACAGCAAATATTGAACTTGGTAAAATATGAATTGTGCTGCTGTCACACTAAAACCACCACATGTAAGGATCCCATTCAATGTGCTAGTAATTCATAACATAATAGGGCACAAATATAATAATGTACTGAATGGTACTGTCTTTGGGATGGGATGTCATGTAGTCTGGTAAAAGTTTACCAACATTTAAGAGGAACATAACTGTCTCCATTTGCAGGGTCCAAGGGTAAGCCAAGCAACCAGCAAGATGCAGGAAACCAGCATAGTGAGCATCTGCCTATGTCTTGCTGGTTGTTCACTTGGTTTACTTTATGTCTCTGAAGATGGAGGCAGTAGCTTCCTCCAGAACATCTGTGGATATCTATCAAACTACACTTTGTCACAACAAGAAGATGGTATTTCACTGCTGTGAGAACCTCAAATCTAACGTAGTGGCATACTATCAATTTTTACAATTAAAGGGGATCTTGCAAAATTAAATTTTATTTGTTCACTCTTTCCATTGTATTTTGTGAAAAATATTTGCATATCATGCTTTAAAGAGAACCAGAGAGTTAGAGAATAACATGTAATTATAAAAAAAAACAATCTTTGTTCTGTTGCATATTTATCCATATATTGTCCCATTACATAACATGTATTTATGCTGAAGTCTATGATAACAAGGATAGCTTTCAAAATGTAATAATTTGAAATTATACCATGAAATTTATGCACATCAAATCAATATAAAATGTAATAAATTGATAACAGTGAAACAAGGTAATTTTACTTCCATTGCAAGCTCATTCCTTATGTATAAGGTGTACTAAGCAGTTAAAAGTGCATTTATGTACAACTGAAGATTCAGTGAACCAAATTTTCCATTATGTCCTTTCAAAGTAATCCTGTTATGACCTAATACACAGAGCCCACTAATTTCTGAAACTCTTCTTTCACAATACTCTTAAGTAATGTATATTTTCCTGAATGTCCAGAATACCATTATATTTTAAATTAATGACTTCTGGGTGTAATACCGTGTAGTCTGGTAGGAAGGTACTTTGATCATTTCTAGCAAACTACATGATGCATTCCAGGAAAGAATAATCATCATATTCACTGTCATGACAATCTAGGTCTCAACATCAAGTCTCTTTACTCNTTTAGACATAGAGGGTTTTTGGACTTTTCCCATCGTCTGTTATTCTAGAAAATACAAAACATGACGTTTCGGAAACTGGATCTGTTTCCATCCTCAGTTGATGGGGAGAAGACACCTACTCAGTTGAGCCCCTTAGAAAGAGTTAATCTCAGTCACTGGACAACCCGTTTCAGAAAGAGATTATCTCTTTCTAGGGACCCTAGCTGAGTAGGTGTTTTCCCCCCTCACCTGAGGATGGAAACAGATCCAGTTTCCAAAACTTCATGTTTTCTATTTTCTAGAGTACCGGATGATGGAGAAAGTCCAAACCCCAGTAATTCTGTGTGCTGTACACCATTGTCAGTATCCTTTAGAACCTACTCATTTCATTAATGCTTTGCCCCCTCCATGAAGGCAAGTACCTTTCTTTCAGTACTTGGATTTCCCAGGTCTAAGCTTGTGGTTTAAGTACAATAGGTTCTGTTCCTTCTAAGTAAGGTACACACAAACAAGGATATTGTTTTGAATTGTCTCATTCTGGTCCACTGCACTATCAAGTTAGAAAGTTAATAGAATTTTCCGTCCACTGCGGCAATAGAGGTCACATCACTTTTATTATTCTTGCCTTACATGTTTCGGTCTAGTTAAAACCATCATCAGAGGCACTTTTCATACGGCAGGAAACACTGTTAATTAAGCTGGTTTGATGTTCACTTTCAGTTGTGTTATTCACAGATGTATGTTTCGTATTATTATCATAGGTTTTAGTTATGACGGCACTCATCGTATAAAAACATAAACATGCAGAATAATTGAGTATGCCAATAGGCTATACGCAGCACAGGAATTATCACTTTTCCCACAGTAGATTTCTTATCTTTGGATTAAAACACTATTAAACTATTTAAAATTTAATTCAAATTGTCATAAGTCGTCGTTGGTTGTCAATTCTTCCCGTGGATGGGAATCGTCATTCTTGTTGGTGTGTGGGCTTGGACACAGCGTATAGCTGTGCTGTGTATAGCCTATTGGCATACTCAGTTATTCTGCATGTTTATGTTTTTATATGACGAGTGCCGTCGTAACTAAAACCTATGATAATAATATGAAACATACATCTGTGAATAACACAACTGAAAGTGAACATCAAACCAGCTTAATTAACAGTGTTTCCTGCCATATGAAAAGTGCCTCTGATGATGGTTTTAACTAAACCGAAACATGTAAGGCAAGAATAATAAAGTTATATTTTAGCGTCCTGTTGCACTGATTAAAGTCCATGATTTATTTCAACTGTCTTCCAGTGCATACACTCATCTATCTCACTCCTCTCTCTCGCACTACATGTGTGTTATACACATGCAGTCACAGGAGCAAGACACAACACAGAGCACAATACACACACGAAAGTAGAAAGAGTGCTCCGACAGAAGAGGATAGGTGTGACTCGCATAGTGAGATACGACGTAGGGATAAAAAATCCTGAACAATTTTAATATTTTTAATATTTAATATTTATCAATATATATGATAAATATATATTTTAGTTATTTTAATATGAAGACGGCAAGGCATGCAGTGAACTAGTTTATCGTAAATCGAATAAGCGCCTGAAGACGGCACTTTTGTGCCGAAACATGTAGTGCGAGAGAGAGGAGTGAGATAGATGAGTGTATGCACTGGAAGACGGTTGAAATAAATCATGAAGAATAATAAAAGTGATGTGACCTCTATTGCCGCACTGAACAGAAAATTCTATTAACTTTCTAAGGAGATTGTATTGTACTGATCATTCGGCGTTTTTTCTATTAATTATTTTATTTTTGGAGTGAAATTTTCATGGCCAATTTAACAGTTTCCATGACCCCACATGTTTCAGACTTTTTCCTGTGGCCCCTCGCCTGTCAAGAACCACTGGTCCAATTAACCTTCACGTATGGCCGCGCCATAGCTCAAGCGGTTAGTCGCTGGCTTCCCACCACGGCGGCCCGGGTTCGATCCCGGGTTTGGTCAAGTTGGATTTGTGGTGGACAAAGTGGCGCTGAGGTAGGTTTTTTCCGAGTACTTCGGATTCCCCTGACAATCTTCATTCCACCAATTGCTCCACAATCACCCTCACCTATCATCTGGTGCTGGTACAATAGTCCAGAATTGGCCGCATTACAAGGGACTTAGTCCCACCCCACTAGCCATAACAAAGAAACCTTCACGTTAACCGATTGTGCCAAGATACCGACACCGGCTGTGAAATTCCCCTTCAACTTGAAGGTGGCAGTACAGTCTACGTATTTCAGTAATAGCATATGTTCGTGTTTGATTCATCATAAAGCATATAGCCGACTTTATCTGCAAATTTTATAGATTGATATGGGCGGGCATAATCTAAACGTGAAAGTTTCCTTATGATCCATTTAATCTCTAGAGTCTTGTTTTATTTCACAATTTAGTACAAATAGCCTAACGTCTAGAAGGTATAAAACGTATAGGTCTAGTAAGCCGTGATTAAACTCGCTCCAAGCATCACAGTAGTTGGTTTCTGGAATTTTCGTCATGCTGTGCGAGCCTATCTCAGTATAGGGCATCCTCTCCCATGTGCTAGAAATTTCGGCCATTCGCCGGTTTGTGATTGGCTGTGATTTAAAAGCACTGGCTGAACAAGAAATATTCGTTGTCGTTGGTTGTGGTCTTTGCATTAAAAAGTGACCAGCAGTTGGTTCTTCGAATAGGAGCTTTACTGGCGGTTCTAATTGCAAATGGCTGCTATGTCTGTGATAGGTATTGACTTTGGTAATGAATCTTGTTACGTTGCTGTTGCAAGGGCTGGTGGAATAGAAACCATAGCGAACGACTACAGTTTACGTGCAACACCGTAAGTATCGACTGAAATCCATGTAGTTTTGGGTATTTAAGACATTCAGCTAAATAAATGTAATATATGCATAAGAATTATTGCATATCAAATATTTTGAATAATACGCGCAGGTTGGAAATTGCAGGATTAACTGCTTTAGGTTTCGTCATGTGATGATTCGGAAAAATAGTCGCTTGATACCAATTTTTTGACGTAGTGCTTTCTTTGCCGTGGATGGTACTGATCTAATAAAAGGATTAGTAATACAGCAACCCACTTGTGGGTGACCTAATATGGTTAGGTCTGCTTACAGTGACGATTCTTTCCTCCTACGAAGTTAAGTACTGCCGTTGTGTTATGTCATTGTTAGATGTTTATTTTTTTGCTAAACGTCTGTTGCAAACTTAGGCCCACATACTAAGAAATTCCCCAAAATGTGTCATGATGAATGCCTGTCTTAACAGAAACTAAGAATATGGCTTTCCTGGGGTTAAAAAAGTGCAACTTGTTATAAAGAAGAATGCATGGCATAAAATCTGCAGTGTGGGGTGGTTGGATTTTAGTTATTACATGAAATTGATTACACAAAATATGTGTATAACAGCCAAAGCATGGGAGGTGGGGAATGTTTTCCTTCATACTTTAGGCAAAGTATTAAATAAAAATATTTTTATTTACTGCTGCATAATTTACCATGCTTATTCAGATACTAGATATTCCATAGTATTGATTTAGGAAGGGTGTTATTATAATGCCTCTGTACCCATGAATTTTCTTGAAGCTGCCATAGAAGTGGACACATTTGTTGCATAGCCACAGTGTTTTGAATTGCTAGAGATATGTGGAATTTCCATCACACATATATTCTCCCGGTACTTACAACGTGGGTGACTTGTTTGGCGTGTATTTTCCATCTTGATGCCCACATTTATCGGAACACATGACGCGTGCCACATAAGCAGTACACAACATATACCTACAGTCTACCCAGCATAATTTGTTATGCAGACAGGACAACCCTTATGCATATCAACAAAGGAGCTTTTATTGATGTTTCCAAGAAGAACAAACTAGCAACACTATGAGCAGTTTAATCGACAGTAATATCAACATGCACCAAATGACTTCTGCATTTGGTAATATTGTATACCAGTTTTCTGACTAATTAATGTTTAATAATTTTGCATATAAAATAATAATATTAAAGCATAATATGCAGTAAACATGCCAGTGCATCCATTGGGCTGAACTGAATTTATTTAACATCCATAACTGTTACACGGGCACAGTTAGACAGGTCAGTTAAAAACAGCCAAGCACTACATAGCAACAACTCTTAAAAACGCATAAAACAATAAACAGTACAATCCCTTTTTGATCAGTAACCCCATGCTGTAGTCCACCAACCATGGTTGATAACTCCCAGCAATTCAAAACAAAGCAATAAACAAACCACAGAAAACACAAGTCACAAAGTATCACAGTTTAATTGAGTTAACAGTCCAAGGACGATCTGTATACTTCCCTGTCATATCAAGACTACGTTGAGTTACAAATCTACCATCTGTCATTGTTGCTAAAAAAACTATTATAGAGAATAAGAACAGTTTTGTAATGAATAACTTTAATTTATTTTTAAAAACCTTAATGTTTTCTATCCTTTTTAATTAAGGGGTAAGTTGTTATGTATTTTTATTCCTATGTTAATTACACTTTTATGACAACAAGCAGTGTTGCATAATTAGATGTCAAAATCCTATTTCGCTTTCATGATATACGTATGAATATTGGAATATTGAGTTGTATAGATTGCATTCTTTTTTTTTTTCTATAAAGCACAAGATCTCAAATACGCGTAGGTATAATGAAGTTACAGTAAAATCTTAAAATTACCAAACAGACATCTACAAGAGACCTTGTTTTTGACTCCTTTAATAAGTCTTAGACCTTTTTCAGTATTTAAAATAGTACATTACTGCCATTTACTCCCCCTCAGATTGTAATAATATTTTAGTATAGATTCAGATTTTGTAAAATAAACTTTTCTTAATACATGGATACTTGCTGAGTAGGGATTTAACCAAATAAAGAGCTTTGTTTAATTTTTGACAAGGGCATTGTATATGTGTGGCCCACCTTAAGTTTTCTGTGATATAAATATGTAAAAATTTTAAATTTGATGAATGAGTTATTTCTGTGTTGTTTAAATAGAGAACGGGTCTATGAATTAAACTGGATCCTCTTCCCTGAAATTGGTATTGTTTTGGTCTTTTTTGTGTATGTTATAAGATTATTTGTCAAGAACCAATTTTCTAATTGTTTCGTAACTTTTATGATTTTCCCTTTTAACAACGTGAGATGTTTCTCAGTGAGTAATATATTTGTGTCATACATGAATAATACCACCTTAGGTTCTTGAACAGCTTGGGGCAAGTCATTTGCAAACAAGAACAGAAGGGGTCCCGAAAGAGAATCATGAGGTACACCATATTGTATTTCTTTACATGATGAAGTAGGCATCTTTATATTTGAGGTCTTTTCATCTAATTGCTCTGTTTCCACAAATTGAGCTCTACCAGTAAGTTATGAACTCATCCATGAGTGTATATACATACCAGATGTATCTATTATAAGTTTACCTGTGTGTTCAGATAGTTTGGGCCTGAAGATAGCAAATGTGTGCTGAAACATGTTGCTCACCTTGTAAATACTGAGAAGAGAATATTGTGACATGTTGACCCCTACCTCCCCAGCGGCATGTAGCGGTAACGTAGTGCTCGCGTAATAGGCGAGTATTCAGTAACGAAACACGTTACATTGGTGTCAGAAGTGTTACGAACTTAAACACGCCACAAACAGATTGTTGTGCATCGAGTACTTTACTGCTACAAAATGGAGATGCAGCAGATAATCGAAATGCTGGCGAAGGCAGATGCCGACCGAGTGCACATGCAAGAAATGTTCCGCACCCATCAAGAAAAGGGGAGAAGAGAAACAGTAGAAGGACACAAAGAAGATGCTGCAAGAACAGCCTCCAAAGAAAAGGAACGGGGAAGCACGGTTAGGCTATTCGGGACGAACAGCCTTAAGGAGGGAGCAGTGTGACATGTTGACCCCTACCTCCCCAGCGGCATTTAGCGCTCGCGTAATAGGCGAGTATTCAGTATTCAGGCATATTCAGTAATGAAACACGTTACAATATATTTTGTGTGATGGAAATTAATGTATTGCTAGTGGCAACATGGCAGTAAAATGTTACATATCCTTGGTAAAGCTCTAGTGGATTGTTTGGTAACTGCTATTCTGTATCTATCTGCACTTAAACTGCACAGGAGTTTGTTTTGTTTTGCATGTTGAGAACTGCTATCTTGAATGTGGTATATTTTTACAGTGATAACCAAGGTAAGTTAAAATGATTTGGATAGGGTTACTGAGATAAATACAACTGACCTTTGGTAACAGATTTTGGATTATTTTGTTACACTAATTCCAAATAATGCTCAAAGTGTTGCCACATTTGAAAGCGTTCCGAGTTATAAAGTAGTTCCAAGACAAATTTCGTCATGTCTCATAATGTACATGGTGTCATGGGAGGAAGTGGCCAAGCTTGGGAATATCATGCAGTAATTTTGAAGAAAAAATTTGTATCATTTGTAGCCCATTCTTGACAGTTACAGATATTAACTGCCAGAATCGTTTATTATACAGTTGTTAAATTTACAGTAAATTTTAAATTAGTAATTTGTTGCATTATAAATGCATTATGCATTTCTTCAGTATTACAAGATATTCTTACCATAAATCAAACTGTTCTGAGTTTTGTTTAGGATAAATGTTCAAACAGTATGCCTTGAACTACAGTACACTTTCTAGCATAATATATTATGAAATTGATGGTCATTCACATAACTGTAATACATGTATTCTGGCATCTGACAGTATGATTCATCACTTGTGATGTGCACCAGTGACTGTGTAATTCCAGAGACCAGAATTGTGTGCTTAGGTTTGGAGATCTCACTGGCCAGGCATAGGGACCACCTCTTCCAGTCCATCAGTCAGTTTATATACAATTTAAATATTGTCATCTGGTCATTGAAATGCAAGGCTCTCTGTATCACAGTTACAGATGCTGTTGTATGTTGATGGCAGCTTATTTTATGCCAAGTTTGTGTAGATGAGCGTTATAAGATGACCTTCTAAGATGTAAGGTCCAAAGAAGTGATTGACAGTGGTGTAATATAAACAGATGTGCCTAATTTTTAATTTTGAATTCCTGTTACAAGAGAGACTGCATGGTGTTAAAGGGGTAAAGTTTGGCACGACCTTCTAAGATTTAAGGTCCAAAGAAGTGATTGACAGTGGTGTAATATAAACAGATGTGCCTAATTTTTAATTTTGAATTCCTGTTACAAGAGAGACTGCATGGTGTTAAAGGGGTAAAGTTTGGCACGACCTTCTAAGATTTAAGGTCCAAAGAAGTGATTGACAGTGGTGTAATATAAACAGATGTGCCTAATTTTTAATTTTGAATTCCTGTTACAAGAGAGACTGCATGGTGTTAAAGGGGTAAAGTTTGGCACGACCTTCTAAGATTTAAGGTCCAAAGAAGTGATTGACAGTGGTGTAATATAAACAGATGTGCCTAATTTTTAATTTTGAATTCCTGTTACAAGAGAGACTGCATGGTGTTAAAGGGGTAAAGTTTGGCACCTTCATTTTTGTAGGGTAAACAAGTTTGCCAAATTTAATTGAAAACTGAAAGGACTCAGTTAAAAATTGATGCATTTATATAGTTTATCAGGAAAACAGTCTTTCATTGTCTTGAATATGTAATGAGTTGCTTATTTTATTCACTGTAGACTCAGAAGTAATAGAAACTGCTCACTAGTTCATCCAATTTAAGAGGCATGTCTGAGATAATGAATTCCATGGAACAAAGTCCTCCTTATGACACTAGAGGTGCTCAGCTAGTCTGCAAATTCCAAATGTTTTCTGAGTTTGGTGTATAATTTGTTTCATCAAAAATGTTAATATTTTGCCTGTGACTAGATGCCATCTTTTAAAACCTACTTTTTCAGATCATGTGTAGCACTCAGTGGGAAGAATCGCATCCTAGGAGTTGCTGCGAAGAATCAAATGGTAACAAACATGAAAAATACAATCCACGGGTTCAAACGGTTTCTTGGACGGAAATATAATGATCCACATGTACAACAGGAACTGAAATATCTCCCTTTTCGGGTAGTTCAGCAACCTAATGGCAGCATTGGTGTGAAGGTATGTCCTATAGAATTTGTATTATGCCTACAGTGTCTTTGGTTACGAAGTATGGGTGGAAATTATTTTCACTTAAAATTGTATGGTAACCATTTTTAATTCCATTGGTACTACTAGATAGAGCTGAGATAGTGCAATCAGTATACTGACTGGCTGCAGGCTGGGCGACTAAGGAGTTGGAGTTCGAGTCTTGGTGCGGACAAGAATTTTCACTTCTCCATGTTGTCCAGACCAGCTCTGGGGCTCACCCAGCCTCCTGGCCAGTGGGTACTGGGGGCTCTTTCCCAAGGGGTAAAGCGGTCAGGTCGTAAAGCTGGCCGCTCAACTCAATCTAGTGCCGATGTCAAGAAAATGTAGATCTATACATCCACTCACTCATACTTCTTCACGGCATAGTGCTTAATTAGTTAAGCACAGGGATGACTTTACCTTTATCTTACCATGGTACTAACCGCCTCTGTGGTCTAGTGGTCAGAGTTCCTGGCTACAGATCCAGAGGTCCGGGTATGATTCCTGGCGCTACCAGATTTTTTCTGAGAAGTAGTGGCTCTGGAATGGGGTCCACCCAGCCTCGTGATGATAATTGAGGAGCTATTTCAAGGAAATAGTGGCTTCCGTCTGGAAAACCGAAATTAACAGATGTGGCGATTTGTTACGCTGACCACATGATGCCTCTATCTGCAAAAGTTGGCACTCACTTTGCCAAGGGGCAGTCGCTTGGTCGGTATAGCTTGCTTGAGGTCTAAAATCACAGAGTGCGTGTGTGTTACCTTGGTACTCCTAGAGTACATACATTAGCTTTAGGTGTGGAAAATATGCAAAATATATATATTTTGGTGGTAGTATGAACAGGTTTCCCCAGTGAATGCATGGGTCACCTATAGTCACTATCCCTGGTACTTCCCATCACCAGATAACTAGGTAGTGTAGTCAAATAGTACTACTATTAGGATCTCAGAAATACTTATTCGTGATGGTTAAGTGTTCAGTGGATATACAGTATTGTCACATGATGGCTGAAAGCTGGATTAGTGGGATAAGAAGAGGTGGCCATTGCTAGGCAGAAGTGTGGTGAACAAGTTTCCATGGCAACAGATAGCCATGCAAGAGTAGAGGATGCTGCATTTTCTGTGCACTCCATACTAAGACTTATATAACGAGGACTAGCAGCAGTCAAGGCAGAGTGTAGGGAATGAATTAGTTCAAGTGTGCTCTAGTTATTTGTAGAGGGTGCAGAATCATGAAGTGCTCTGGTGAGCTACTGAGTTTACAGTCAGTAAGTCAGCTATACCAGGCCTTGATTGCCTTTAGTGATTGAATGAAACGTGTGCTGGACGGAGCGGATTTTACGGACATCACTTTACGTAGTACTCGTATGTTCATTTCCAAATCCTATTTGGCAAAGGTGGTATCAGTGAAGTTTTCCATCCAACCGCAGTTGTGCACAGTGATGTGCGAAACAACAAAACAAGCGGTGAACTTCAGTGTACATCAAGATGCTGGACACCCTCGTACTGGGATTTCAGAAATACTGGAGACAGAAGCTGGCATTTCTGAAATCAGAATGCCATGTCATCGTGAACAAATACCCAGAAGCAGCTTCTGTAGTACAGCAAGTGTATAAGGTAGTCAGTGACATTGAAATTCTTGTTGGATGTACACTGGCTGAATTGGGGGAAAACTCTGAGTGGACCTCTGTTGTGAATCGTGTGGAGAACAGAGCTAACTTTTGTAAAGGTCTGGATTGGAAGCCGTTTTTCAGCATTCTTTACAGCAAGCACACAGTAACACTGAATGAAATGGCTGCTGGAGTTCATAGGCTGCTCAGACTCACAGAATTTAATGCAAATGATATTTGGTGTCAGCACTAAGATCTCAGTAAGCAGCTGCTAGATGTACATATAGATGTGGTGTCAGCACTAAGATCTCAGTAAGCAGCTGCTAGATGTACATATAGATGTGGCTCTGCTCTCGGAGACATCTCAAATCCCGTGAGATGTTCTTTATTCCATACTCACTTTTATTGGATTGACCGCTTCCCAGAAGAAAAGGCATCCCCCAGTAAAATGTAGACGTGCCTCCACTTGGGTCAGTAGAAGCCACAGGGGTTTCCATACTGATTGGTAACAGTGAAATGCTACTTGCAGCAGTGTACAAGTCTCCATGCCACACCTTAAATGATACAAACTTCACTGAACTCTTAAACTTTAGACATAGGTCGATTTTGGCTAAACATCCAGTTTGGAATAATGTAGTTTCCAACCCTTCAGGCATAAACCTACTGAATTTACTGCATATGAATGAGTTCAAAATTTCAGCACCACAGTGTCCCACTCATTACTCTCCTGCTAGTAATGGTGACATGCTTGATATTATGTGCAAGAATGCCAGCTGTCAGAAGTCATTGTCTCTGACATTCTGCACTCAGATCACCTACCAGTCATTTTCCACTTGCTGGATCATGTTAGAACTAGCAATCTTTCGGACAAAATATCTACACGGCGCCACATGCCAGAAGACAGCATTCTTCAAGAATGTCCTTAACCTTAGGCTTGTCATTCCATTTGGGTTTGAAAATTGTTCTGTACTTTTCGTGGTATGGTTATTACAACTAAGCATATACACACATAAGTCTGAAATGAATCAGATATTTATTCAGTATATCACTCTGTCACTCACTCACTCACTCAGTGGAGATGAGCCCTTCTTGAGAAGTCACCAATTGTAGAGCTACTCAAGAATTTCCCAGCATTTTATGGAACCCGAAGGTTCACTACCATGTTCAAAAGAGCCCTCTACTGGCCCCTGTCCTGAGCCAGATTGATCCAGTCTATACCATTCCACCCTATCTCTCTAATATCCATTTTAATATTGTCCACCTACCTATGTCTTGGTCTTCCTAGTGGTCTCTTTCCTTCTAGCTTTCCCACCAGTGTACTACCAATATCCTATATGCTCTTCTCCCTCACTTAATGCTACATGCCCTGCCCGTCTCATCCTCCTTGACTTGCTTGGTCATTCTAATTTTACTTGGTGAAGAGTACAAATTATGAAGCTCCTTATTATGCAGTATTCTCCAACCTTCCGTCACTTCATCTCTCTTCGGTCCAAACATTCTCCTCAGATTTATTCAGTATATACAGACTAAAATCATCCATCTTCATGGATTAGGCCATGCATGGTATGCTCCGTCCTCTTGAAGTGTATGCTGGTCCCTCAGTCTTGATCATGGGCATCCTGTGTTTCATCCTTTGTTTGGGAGGGTGGGGGATGGGTATGTTAGAATTTTGTTTGGAATTTGCCTGTCTTCCATTCATTGCATGTGATATTTCTGCTGTGATCTGGATTCAGAATTTCACCCTTTAGATTAAATATGTTGAGTTTATCCATAATTTTATTTTTCCTTATTTGGTCTTTCCTTGTGTAACCTGCTGCACTCCTCTCGAGAATTTCGCTTCAGCAGTTTCAGTTTTTGTTTATTTTTTTAGTCCATATTTCAGATTTGTGTGTAAGTGTAGGTACTGCTATAGCTTTTTAAAATCTTTGTCCCTTTACTTGTGTTGTTATTCATTGCTGTTCTTATTCTGTTGCACATTTGATAAAGTCTGTACATCTTTTTTCTAAGTCTCTTTTGTTTGTTACTGTAATTGTGTAAAGGTAAAAGAAGGTAACACGCCATGGAGGCCCATAGGGCTGTGAGATGTTGAGGATCCCACATTTTCTAGAGAGTCGGCTCACAGATGGTGGTGAGGTTGTCAGCCTTACGCTCCAGCCTACCTTTACCTCCGAGGAAGATTCCTGGTACTCATTTCTGTTAGAGGCTGTGACCCCAGGGTCATAGTGTGGCTGGAAGGATTAGGCAAATTGAAAAAATCCAATTATCTCATCGTGAATGGAACCAGTGACCTTCTGGCTTGTAGCATAGTGCTTCAATCAACTATGTTACTGCATGCCCCACCGTAATTGTAACTATGTACTAGTTCAGTTATGTTGTTATTTATCACTGTTTTAGTTCTCACATTCATCTTTCCATTGCCTTTATCTTATTTACTGAAACCTTCATTTATTTATCTTCTCTTGTCATGAGCACCAGGGCATCTGCAAATAAAAATGCATTTAGAATTAAGTCCTTTGTTGAAAAGTTTTGTTTGATCTCGTGTGGTCCATCTTTAATACCAGACTAAAATAAATATATTACAAATTACAATGAATCAGATACTGAACGATTGAGATTCTTACGGCAGTGAGTGTCGAGATTACAGGTAAGAGCTTCTGGAATGTGATGCTGTCTTTTTAGTAGGTTGTAGCAACATTTGGAGGAACCTGCTTCCTCCATCCTTGGGGTTGGAGTTTGTTGGTAGAGGAATTAGTTCTGTTTTGTAGGCAGTGCAAGGAAAGTAGTTGTTAAAATCCTTGGAAAGATGTGAGGAAGTGGAATCTGGTTGGAACCAGTGGGATCTGTGGGAGGGGAAATGGCCCTTATCAGGGATAAAATGTTGTCATGGGTGGGAAATGGAATTGTCAAAAAGGACAGCTGTTCCTAAAGGACACAGTATTGTTTTCAGGTGGAAGGGTGAAAAGAAAAGGCAGTCTTATTCAGGGGCTCTGTTTTTCACACAGGAGGCAGAACTACTAAACACTGTGAATGGCCCTTTTCAGGACTCGAGCAGATTGGAAATGTGAAGTGAGAAATCAACACTTTTTTCTCAGAATAACTGGGTAGTTGAATACCGTTGCAGGAGAAAGTAACTGGCTTGTTTTTAGAGGAACTTTCTTTATCATTTCCTTCGGCTTGCTTAGGGAAAACCTGTCCCCCTGATCATGTTAGGGTGGAGCTCAGTGCTTATCACATCTCTTATGAGGCGATTCTCTTGTCCACTGTCTGAAGGAAAGGGAGGAGGTTTTCTCTGGAGACACGTTGCTTACTCCTGAAATGATATTCATCTCATGGGCCCTCAGAGAAAAATCACTGATTCCTCACTTCTTACTTCCTGTCAGCAGCAGTTCTGCAAAAGGGCCATCTTCAGTTTCCCTCACATGAGGAGAACATATGGGCTTCCTGAAAATGGATTATGTCTTTCTTTTTACTTTTCTGCCATAAAACAATATTGTGTCCCTTGGAAAATGCGGCCCTTTCTCACATTCCAGTCTCCCACCTGTGACAGGAGTGTTTTGTCCCCTTATTAGACCCATTTTCCTACCCACTATTTGCATTGGCTCTGATCAGGCACCATTTCCTTATGCCTCACACTTGAATCTGAGCAACCACTATCTTGCAGACTGCCTTTATAATAGAGCTAAGTCTTCAACCTGTACATTTCAACCCTGAAGAAGGAGGCAGCATGTTCCTTCAAAATATCAGTATCTGCCTACAAGATTACATGGTATAAAAACTGAATAATCACCACTATGAAAACCCAAGAACTTGCTTTGTCAAAAATACTTAACTTCAGTAACTTGAGAGAATTTTTGGATTTACAGCTACATTTATACTAAGGTACCAAACTTTATAGGATAACAAACAGTATGCACTAAATGGTGCTACTGTCTGGAAATAAGCTAAGAACTTTTTTTTGGGCAAGGGTATACCTACAGCCGTTACCTGCTCCTATCCTTAATTGCTAGCAACCCTAACATACGTTAGCTAACGTGCTAACATAAGTTACAACAGAATAGCAGCCATTAGTGTTTAATATACACTTATTATCACTGCATTCATTTGCTGTCAGATTCTGTGCTTAAATTGTTTCTGACATCTCAAGAATGCTACAGTATAATATGTGAACATGACCCTTCGTTGTCATTTGTTTTAATGGCAAGTTACATGTTCACACAGTTCATAATCCATTTGAAAAATGTTGAGCAAGTTGGCTCAAGTGTTAACATTCATGGCATGTAGCCTGGAGATACCCAGTTTGACTTTCGGTTTTGACTCCAGCGATCCTGGTTGATATCCGTTATGCTTATCATCCTCTCTAGGCAAAGACCAGGACAGTGCCTCATATTAACCTTTGATTATTTCTTTCCATATCCTTTCCATTATTATGCATGGAATAACTAGAAATACTGCACTTATCTTTGTATATACAGTACAGTTTCAGTAATCTGGCTGTGCACGTGTCCTGCATGTCCAGTAATCCAGCATGAGGTGCCAGACATGTGTCCGTGACCTTGTGCAGGTTTCTACAGGCAGCAGAGGCTGACTGTGTTCATTCATTCATTCATTCATTTATTCACATTCCATAAAATCCCTACAAGGTTGAAATAATCAATAGATATAGAAATCGTCCAGAAATATAAACTCATCTTGCTTAGAAATCAAGCAGTTGTCAAAATAACAAGTTTATAGTATACAGGATTTAAGTCACATATAAAAATTTATCTTGAAAATAATAAGCAAGACCCTGACAATTTTAAAATGAAAAATTCAGACCAAATATTATTTACTAATCATGCTTATACAATATGACAGTTATTTAAAAACCAGTTTATCATATAAGACAAGTTTGAAAGTTGAATATAATTAGTTGTATTACAGTAACCAATTTACAATATAAGATAAAGGTAACAAAGAATACTAATAATAATTTACAGCTTCAAAACGGTATAATCAAATAAGATCTGTTATAACAGATAATTGAAGTTATTTACAAAAAAGCTTTAGTCAACTAACATATTGGTTAAAATTTCAATATAATATAATTATGCAAGCGTTATCTCATAAAAACTCTTCCAATGTATAAAAAGAATTAAAGTACAAAAATTCCTTTAACTTGCCCTTAAACCTTTCTATATCATTAGAAATTTCCTTCAGTGTATCAGGAAGTGCATTGTATATTTTAACAGCCATATGATACACCCCATTTCCATATATTGCCAAATTAACTTGGGTCATATGTTTATCCCTAATGTGTCTAGTATTTATTTCACAGTGAGCTTTGTTTGTATCAAATATTCTTCTGTTTTTTACTACAAACATCATCAAGGTAAATGATATAACCTCCGTCTCAAGTGCAAACAATATATTCTTGTGTCTTTGATCTTGCTCNTTAAAATTAGAACTAAAGATTTTATTATGGTGCTATTACAATAAACTCAAAATTAACGTGTGTGAAGTAATCTACGGGTGGACAGCTATCAACGAAGTAGAAGTTGATAATGACAGGGAGAGTGTTTTAGATGTTAAATTTTGAACTGGGTGCAGTGTGACAGCGACGTGAGTGTTATACACCTGATGATGGCCGTCTGAGGCCGAAACATGTAGTGTAGGGAGCAAGATCAAAGACACAAGAATATATTGTTTGCACTTGAGACGGAGGTTATATCATTTATCGTATGGAGTGCAACAGGATGCTTAAATATAATATCATCAAGGTGTGTATATATATATACACCTCGTTGGTGTCTCCACCTTATCGTGGTGAGGGGGTTTGAGTATGCCAAGGACCCTGAGAGCTATACCAGCGGTAGCGTAGCTACTGGCTACTGGACCTGTCGTCTGACAGATTACTGATGAATGAATGAATATATATATATTGTGTTCTTAAAGGAAATATATTCATATCCTTAAAATGTCCTCTACATGAATCTTTCGAGCCACGTCCTTTCATTATTCATACAACTCTCTTTTGCAACTTAAAAACTCTTTTAGCATAAGACAAGTTACCCCAAAACATTATACCGTATGACATGACAGAATGAAAATATGAAAAATAAACACTTTTTAATGTTTTCATTCATTTGATTTTGACAAACTGATTTATTTAGACCCTCACTAGTACACAGTGTTTTGGTTCTTCAGTCCTATACATTCCTGTACAGTGCTTTTCATACAGCAGTGGATTTATTGACACTTTTTTTTAAACACAGTGAAATGAAGCCCTAAGTACTGAATTAATGGACAAAAATTCACAGTACACATTTATGTATTTAAAGTAAATAAATTATATTATTAAACAATAATTAATACTGAAACTTCTGTGTTGTACAGTACAACTTAATAGATTTGTTCCAGCTTATGTTGTGCAGTACAACTTAATAAATTTGTTCCAGCTTTTTCCAGTAATCAGTTGTCTTTGGTAATCTGGCAGTACTTTGGTCCAATATGTGTCGGATTATCAAGATTGTACTGTACTAATATTTACACGTAACAACACACCTTGGGGCGTAGTACTGTTCAGTGTGGACACATTTTGCCTAACACAACATGATTCGTAGAATTACAAATACTTAACTTTTTTTTTTTTGTTTCATTCTGGTCCCTCACTCGCAATTATAAATACAAACCACTCCGTCTAATGTGACATATAAGTTTTTACTACGTTAAAGCTTATCTCCCTTACATGTTTTGGTCCTTATGGGCCATCTTTAGAGGGAACATCATTACAAACTGGAAACTACCATCACAATAGGTGTTTTGATTTAAAATACTGTGACATGTTGAGCCCTGAATGACGCCCCTCCCCCCCCACCCTCCGCCAGCCGTGATGCACCGAGCGAAGCCGAAGCGAGCCGATGTTAGCCGAGTCCTAGCATCCTGGTCGCTAGGCAACGCAAGTCAACGCAGTGACGTCACCAAGGGATATTGCGGTTTCTAGGCAGCCGTCAACAACTCCGGACAGCGTGGCTAGCAACAAGGGTGCCTATTACGTGGCCGTATTGTCCGATCGAGGCTACATAGGGAGCAGCGAAGGCTATTCACAGGAGTTGTACTGAGTCAGTCAGTG